GACTGAAGGACTGAAGTGTCTTTAGGCCATTCCAAAAAGGGGGCGGGGGTATTAACATGTTCTTATGCACAGTAAAATTGTAAATGGCCTAATGTATCAATGCCATGCTCACACTGCGTCGGAACAACATATGGGAAACTGTTGCTTTCTCTTTCCTCATTTTTACTATCCTCATTTTTCCTCTTCTTCTTTTGTATGTTTGTCACTCTCTTCTGAACTTCTATTTCCGAGGTGTCTTGAAAGTCGAAGAAGACTTTGTGCTGTTGAGGCCAAAGAGGCGAACATAGTACTGTGAGCCTAATTTCCCCGTTTGGACTTCTCCGTTGACATCCACCTCTTGGCGCTCATGTGACCTTATGCAGTTGCGAGCGCCGTAAAAACTTTACCAAAACTAAACAAAATATGCCTCCATTGCCCCCATTTAACCCCATCCGTTTGTCGTGTTTTACTATCGTATCCGTACGACGTGGGGAACTCTGTGCCACCACTTTCCAAAGAGGAAATTTACTCCTTATTCCGATCCGTATGCTTCGCATAGTAGTCTGTCAAAATGATTTTTTGAGAAATACTGAAAGTTTCAAAGAGATCTTCGCACTAGAAGAATTCTAAAATGTGAAGAATACAACCCTGGGGGTACAAATGACCCCAGGCTGTACGGATAGGGTTTAACCATTAAGAAAGGCGGACCTCCATCCTGCTGGCCAGAGCCAATCTGTAGTGAGACAGGTACAAAATTCAGGCAAAAAGACCACGATATTCCACAAAACTTCTCCCCACTCGGGAATCAAATTCAAGTCCCCTGTGTGCGATGGCAAGGTGCCTAACCGCTACATCATAGACGCCGGTTGTTTCGGTTCAGTTTCCGTTTTGTAAGAGCTTTAAAGCGCTGGCAACTCCGTAAAGTCATGTATGAGCGCATGTTAGACGGTGATGGTGATGGTGATGGGGATGGCGATGGTGATGGTTATGGTTATGGTGATGATGATAGTGATGGTGATGGCTATGGGGATGATGGTGCTGTTGATGATTTTTTGTTTCCATAATGGGCCTGGTGGACTCCACGAAGAAATCTTCGAGCGAGAGCGAGGCTCTTTTTCGGCTCCATTGATGATAATGATGATGATGATGATGATGATGATGATGATGATGATGATGATGATGATGATGATGATGATGCTGCTGCTGCTGCTGTTGCTGCTGCTGCTGCTGCTGCTAATGATGATGACGATTAATTTTTTTCTTCTCTGCAGACGTCCAGATCGGGCTGTGACAGATCAAGGTGTGGCCACACTGTCCAGCGAATCGGGCAGGGCGGAGTACACCACTGTATATGACTGTACGGCTTTGTCACAGTTTGTTCTTGTTGCTGTTGTCGTTGTTGTTGTTGTTGATGATGTTGTTGCTATTCTTGTTGCTATTGTTGTAGTAGTAGTAGTAGTAGTAGTAGTAGTAGTAGTAGTAGTAGTAGTAGTAGT